GGGGCGGAAAAGACCACCACAATACCCCCCCAGGCCCATGTAATGGTAGGGCCCACAAGAGCAAATCCTACTCCAGCCTGCCCCATAACGAACACTAATCCTATTGAACCTAACTAAAACATTTCATAATATTATGGTGCAAGAACAAAAGAGTGTCAACCAAGTGGTACAGGCAGATGCAACAGTAGCCGTGCAATTAAATTGCCAAGCCACTGAGTAATAGATTATGATTTAGTATAAATAATATAATATACGGTTATTTGACAGAATACCCCTCTCTAAAACCAAATTTGACAAAATGCTGCTGTAAAAAAAATTTGATAGAATGCCATCCACCACATGTGTTTCAACCTAATATTTTCCACACAGTATATTCCACCTCCAATACTATAGGTCTATCATGGAGTAAAATATATTAAACCAAACAGAAGCAATTATTTAGTGGTATACTTCTCTAAAGCTCTAAATTTAACAGAATACTCTTGTAAAAAAAAATGCTTAATATAATACCTCTCTATATATCAACTGAAAGATATAAGAGAAGATAATATAGGAGAAGAATTAAGAGTATATACTCTATTACATATTTGTTACTCTTTGTTAAGAATCCTACCGAGGTCGGGAGTACAACAGGTAACAATTCTTAAATCGGAGCGAGGTAATAGTTCTTAGGCCAATGCCTATGCGATATTGATAGTCAAGTCCTCTGACCTCTATCTTATTATGCCTATTCCTCTAGCCTTCTTTAGTCCTTGATTAGGACTAACTGGTTCAACGTGGGACGGGAAATAGTTTTCTCACTTGAGAGGAAAGACAATTCTTGGGTTTCTTAAGATAAATCTTAACGAGCGTAAAGGTAGGTTTTATTGATAAACTTAAAGGTAGGAAATAAACAAGAAGAACATGTGAAGAGCTAATACTAGGGGTCCTAGTGACCCTTTATATAGTAGCTCTTCACCTGGCGTGACCCATACTTTTGCGTCATGCAAACCTTGTAACTAATAACTATGAGTCATGCGAAATCCATCAGATGACTCCTATGAGTCGCTGTGCAACATGCCTAAAACCAATCAAAACATAATAACCTAGTCAGGTGCGCAACTTGCATCACCTGAGTGAAACCCATGACTCATAATTTGAGTCATGTGCAAAAATCATAACATCGTGTGACTCACAACTGTGAATCATAAGCAGGTAAACATAATAACCTATGGCGCACTAATATGCGTCATGTGAAATTCCAACATACCTATAGCTCGGAATCCCGAGCTATGTAAAATCTGCCCTGCTTAGTCACAGTTTGTGACACTCTTTCAAGTAATAACTATCTTGAGTCCAGCCATTTCTTTCTATCTCCAGCTTTCCTTTATAATAAGTATTACTCTTCTACTTTCATTTACAGCTAGTATTTCTCCTCCAATAGCCTCATTATAACTTTATCATTACAGCAAGCTCTCAAAGTATTTTCTAACTTCAATCCTCAACTGTATGAACAAGTACTTTGTAACATAACTTGACAATAAAAATTAAGAAATTAAATCATATAACTCATATGATATTGTAAAATTTTATTTGATAACTGATTACTAGTACCTATTTTATGTTTAGATAATATGGAACAGAGAAGCAGAATAAGTTATAATAGTTGCTTATTATATTCTAACATATCTACAATCCCATGTTTAGTACTTGCTTTTATATATTACTATAATATATTTGCTTTTAATACTTAATGCATTCTGCTATGTCTGACCTGTATTATTAGAGGTAGCATAAACTGTGTGGAAAAGATCTGGTAGAAGAACATGTGGTAGGTGGCATTCTATCAAACATTTTTTTTTTTACAGTAGCATTCTGTCAAATTTGGGTTTCAAGGGGGTATCCTGTCAAATAACCGTTTATTTTATTTACTTCCTTACATTACCTTTAATGTTACTCCCCTCACAACACCACCACACAACACCACCACAAACACACGGACCGAGGAAGAAACCCATTTCGTGCAAAAGGGGGAAGAAAGCAGCACCGAGTACAAGCAAGCACATCAAAGAACTAGCGAACTGAGGAACCCCCCCCCCCCCCACACACACCAATCCACCACTCTGCCTAATGCTCCAGTGCCAACCGGTCAATATTGTGCCAGCTCTTGTCTCCCTATGTCCTACTATGAGAATCATTCACAAAATCCAATAAAAACCACTCCGGCCATAAAACAACAAGAACACCACCCGAAGGAGTCCTTCCACATTGTGGGGTACCGACACGACTGCCGGCTCCAAGAGTCTCAACGCAAGCGTGGCCAACACAAGCAAAATAGAGAATAAAATGACCACCCGAGGATTGAAGCCAGTTCAAATCAATATCAATGACATTTTTTTGTAACGAGAACGAAATAGTATTGGTGCATGGGGAGGAAGAAAAGAAAAAGAGACGAGGAGGGTGGGAACTGAAAAGGGATGGATCAGGGTCAGAAAACCAAACACGTAAAACAGATAAGCTCCACTCACTTACAAATCAAACAAGCAAATCCAGTCTTCACACACAAAAAGGTATTCCGAGAGAAGTCCATGCGAATTAATTTGATCCAAAGAAAAAGAAAGAACAAATGCAAAAGTCAATTCCCAAATGTAGGTACAAGCTTTATAATCATAGGTTGTCTTTGTCTCTCGTCCACAGGTTCGTTCTTCAATAGTCTGATGTTCTCTGTTCTCCGCTCGCTTGCTTGACAGGGAAGGGAGGGAAATTCCTCCTCCACGAAACCCTCTCCTCTCCAAGTTTATAGGACCCGCATCCCGCCGTTCTATCATACTTGCATTCAGGCTTTGCTTTTCTTGCACAGGTATACAAAGTCAGGCTCCCGAAAAAAAAAAGGAAATAAATCTTGAAAATTCACAAACACATGAGCCCCCTACGAGTGATGTACTATGATTCCAAGAAGGTCAGACCCCCAGCATAAAAAACAAACCCGAGAAAATAGGTATGATATGATAGGTCTGGAGAAAAAGCACTATGCGCCTATCATACCAGGCTCAAAATTCTTCATTCCAACCAACAACCATGACATCTCCTGTCCCAACAGTATATGCACAGTTGGTGCTGCACGATCCACGATACCAACCTAAAGTATATAATAGCAAGTATAAAGCAGTAGGAAGGCAAGCTATTTCCGAGCGCCTTCACAAAAACGCTTAAATACCTCCCCTCCGATCCCCCCATCGAGACTGATCCCGGAGCAAATTATCAGTATGCCATATCATAACCCCAGAAATCGCGCCAACGATAGATAACCCCATCCCTATCCCCATCCCCACTCTCCTCTCGAGGTGTAAGTGTGAAAAAAATATCACAGGCTTACCGATCCAAGTATGAAATTCCCACCCTCCCAATTCGAAAACCGGGGCAACAGCACCCTTGATGACGAAATCCGTCGAGACCAAATTTTAGATTATATTAGATTTAGAAAAAAAACAGCTTTTCCACCGTCCCTCTTGTTTCACTTCACTTCACGTCTTTCTTTCTTTCTTTCCTCCAAAGCCCTAGGAAAGTGATGAATGGGAACACACGCATACACCGGAACCGATTCAAAATGCCGGATTTCTTCTTCCTCCCCCCTTTTTTTTCTCTCAGGGCGTATCTGCCGACTACAAAAACAGATGCAATTGGTACTAGCGGTGGTAGTCCCACTATGATACTCCGCGGTGAATTCGTTATAGTGACCAATCCACAAACCAAGCCGAGTGGGTACCATACATGCAGTAAATTACCGCACTCATGTCGGACGTACCGTACAGTACTCTATCTACCACACAGCGATAAAAACTTCCCGGGACTAATCAGCCACGATGGTACAGTACACTTACTACACAGTACCGCGTAAATACCCTCAGATACATAAGTCTAATTACCAACCCATGGTTCTCCAGTACCTTCCTTCCTTCCTTCCGTCCCGGGGGGGGGGGGGGGGGGTTGACAACTTCCTACCATATATATCCCTTTTCCTACGATATCATAATTTCATAACGTGGTTATTGTAATAGTTGGGGGTGCGCGTGCCAGTGGGTAAAAACCACACCAACGGAACCTCAGTTCTCGGTGCCAGATTATCATATCTATCACTTGTCGTTGAAAGTGTTGTACTGTACGGTACCATGCCTAACTATTGAATCCCAGAGATACGGCACTTTCTTTTCTTTTTCCTTCTTTCTTTCCCTCCCGGAACCAACGATGCCCGTTCGGGGGCGCGCACTCACGATACCACACCACGCCGTAAAGGGAAGGAGGGGGCAACAGCAATTTACAGTACAGTACAATCTCACCAGTCACTCAGTCACACCTACTCACTCGCATTCTTGTAATCTTATATGGTATTACTTCCATTCATTACACATATATACACCCAATCCCTCCCTCCCGGACGGACAGCCGACCAGCCAGCCAGGCAGCCAGCCGACGCCAAGTCCGATGTACATAGTTACACATGTAAATAAATAAATAAATAAATGAATAAAACAAACTCACCCATACCCCCCCCTCATTTTTTTCCCCCCACCTCGGACTCAATCGGAGGGAGGGCAAATGGAAAGGTAGAAAGAGATAGCCAGAGAAAACTCCCTTCAAGAGAGGAAGAGGAAGGAAAGACAGACCGCAACGCCACCAGATTATATATGACTGCAGGATAGAAAGATAGGAGAAGGGAGGGGGAAGAAAGTGGGAAAAAGAATTTTTTTAAAAAAAAAAAAAGTATAAAAAAATGCAATGTGTCGTTAGGACGTTAATTCGATGGCCCAAAGATACGGGAAGCAGAAAATAGGGTTGTATGCGTCTAAACCACCAACCAACCCGCCACCAGACAAGCGGGCGAGTAGACAACCGGCTCCGCTATGAGAGATAGACGAGAAAAATCTTTACCAACCAAAGTCAAAGTTAGGGCCGGGGGGGGGGGGAAGAAAAAATAAAAATAAACACCCAATCATAAGGCGTTAAAGTCACTCAATTAGAGATTACTCCTCCCCGTCCACCACAACTCCACAAAACTCCACAATCAACCTCTCTAGATCGACAATCTTGTACGGCTTTGACATGAAACCCTTCATGCCGACGCTCGAAGTCTTGACCATAGCAGCTTGCGTCGCATCTGCCGACACAGCCAACACAGTAACCCCCACCCCCCCATTCGCTCCTTTTGTCGCCCTCGTCCGCGACTCCAGAATCCGCTTCGTGGCCTCGTACCCATCCATGCGCGGCATCCACAAGTCCATAAGTACAACATCTATCGGAGGATGCCGCGGATTCGACATAATCTCTACAGCCTCCTGCCCATCGCAGGCTTCCGAGATGTCGGTGTATCCGAGCTTCCGCAGCATGCTTGTTAGTAGCTTTCGGTTGATCTTGTTGTCCTCGGCCACGAGTATGGAGAGGGGTATTTTCGTCGCGAGGGTTTTGTCATAGGGCAGTTTTGGGGGTGGGCGGGGGCGGTGGGCTGTTGTGGTTGCTGCGGTTGTTGTGGTCGTTGTAGTCGTGGTCAGTGTGGCCGGGGAGGCTATTGGGTCGATAGGTTGTGGGTCTGGTGGGAGCTGTGGGGTTGTAGACAACGGAATGGAGGAGTTAGAGGTTGGGGGTAATAATGGCTGGAGTGGTGGTGGCAGTGGCGAAGGGAAGCGCTCCTCACGCAGCGGGGAGGGGTCAGAGAACGGGCTTCGGCGAGAGGCATCTAATAGCCAGTTTGGCAATAGGTTAGGAAGCACGGATATCGGTGGGGTTATTGTCGGAGTATTCGGGTTTACCACCGGTGTTCCCGGCATGCTAGAGGCGTCCGCAGGGGTTAGCGGCAGCCTGACACGGAATTCTGAGCCCTTGCCCGGCCCGTCTGTCGACGTTCGCTCGCACCACAGGTCTCCGCCCATCTTGCGGGCGATACTCTTCGCCACCAATAGCCCTAATCCCAGGCCATCCCGCAGCCTCGTCATGGAAGCGTCTTCCCGAGAAAACGCTTTAAACAGGCGTGGCAAGAACTCCTCCGGAATACCTTCCCCAGTGTCTATAACGGAAAACAACACCTGAGAGTTCAGAACCCCCACAGCGACAGAAATGCCTCCATTCCCGGTAAACTTGACAGCATTGTGGAACACACTCGACAGCAGTTTCGTCAGGGCATTCCCATCAACTACAACCACCAGTCAGCAACATCCCAAAAAATCCATACAATTAAGTGCATACCAACGAGCGTTTCTGGGACACTCTCATCCACCTTCAGCTCAATCTCAACAGTGCTATTCGTCTCCCCAGGGCCCACGGTCGAAACAATAATCCTCTCCCCCTCCAGCGTCGGTGTAGACCGTGTGGAATCAGGTCGGCCACCAGATCGCAGCGTCTCGTGGAGAATCTGACTCAGCAACTCTCGAATCTTCAGGGGGCGAGAATTCAGTTGTATCTTCCCGGCCGCGTCAAAGACCAGCCAAGCACCAGACGGCGATGGGGAAGCAGCTGACAGCATGCTATGGCCCGAACTGCCCCGCCGCTGTATGTCATCGGGCATCAGTAGGCGTGCGGGGGACTCAGTGTAGGCGGGTGGTGAGAGACTCCTCGATCGTGGTAATAATGGTGGGTCAAGTATCTCATCACCATCCCCATCGTGGTCTAGATCTTCGCTGCGGTGGCGCACCTTGTACGGCATTAGGTCTTCCGGTGAACCGGATTCTCGCCGCCGTTTGCTCGATTGTCGTGGGATCACTCTTGGTGTTGACGGGTCAAAGTCGCTGTCCCGCATCGGCGTCATTGTGGCATCCGACTCGTCGGGTAAATCTAGGAGCACCTGGCTGGACATCTTTGGCGTCGAGGGAACCTCCATGTCGAAATCGTAAGCGTGAACCATGTTATCGGCGGCGTCAACAGCCCGTTTTGAACTGTCTAGGCACGGGAATCAACATTGCTCACGCAGACCCCAACATCAATGAAATAAACCAAAAACAGAAAAAAAAAGTACCTTGAGCAACTTCTATACTCTCCCTGAGAGACTCCACCATATTCCGGATCTGCCTCATATCGCCTGCCTCCCATTCTGTAGCCTCCAACACCGAAGCATACATAACATCCAACATCCCAACAACGCCCTGCATAGGTGTCCGTAATTCGTGCGATAAGCTTCGAGCATAGGGCTTTAATGAGTGCCGTGAAGCAACGGTATCATTAGGGATAACCCCATTCTCCATCTTAGGTCCAAACCCTTCCCCCTCCAGTATCTTTGCCGTAACCTGATCCTCCAAAGTATGTAAAAACATCTCCAACATAGCCCAACTAGTGGGCGATCTCTCCTTCAAGCCCTCCTCCGTCCACATAACCCCCATATGAGCAAAGCATTTCCCCTCATGAAACAACGGCACAGCAAGATAACCCTCGGGGATAATGGGAAATGACCCAACATTCGGGTTATCCGGCGTGAGCGCTTTCAACCCTTCGGGAATCAGTAGCACCTTGTCATGCTTCATCCACTGACAAGGGCATCCGTAAACTTTGTACTTGAAATCCCGGTATAACCCTTCAGCGCCCTTACGATCGTTAAAATAGAAAGCCAACCCCATAAGACACGAACCCCTCTCGCCGAATTCGGGCATCTCCACGGCCGAGTACTCATCGCCCTCCAGGACCCTCTTCGCCACGAACGCATACTGAGCCCCCATGATCTCGGTCATGCCCTCCATCAATATCTGCCAGAAGTCGAGAGTGGTAGCGCTCCGCAGCCTCTGCTTGAGATTGAAAGTCCCCTCCAATCCCTTGCTGTCAGCCTCGACGAAGGCCGACTTCATAGCGGCTCGAAAGCGTGGGTCCCCGAGTTGTATGACGCCCTCCATTCCTGGCTTCCCGATACAAAAAGATGAACGATCAAAAGGATCACTCATGCCGATGGCCTCATAGGACTTAAGGCTCTTTTCAGACTCCATGGCAGTCATTCAGTGTGGGTGTGACAATCAGTCACCGCCGATATCCGAATAATAAAACTTCTTGGCCCCAGGGGGGAATACGAATGTTAATGACAAACGGTTGGTCGTGACACACCAGGTTGTATGCACGTAGGATTGTTAAGTTATGAATAGTATAGCTGATGTACAGTGACTGGAGTGAGGGTTGCCCGGTCTCTGGGTCCAAATGTGACAGATCAAGTAGGAGGGGTATAAGTTAAGAGAAAGGATTAATCCGCAGGTATAAATTTTAAAAATGGATAAATACGTGGAGGGCGAATATTCTCTTTTTCCTTTTTCCTTTTTTTTTTTCTTTCCCTCCCTTCCTCTCCTGCGTGTATATGGTGGGCGTGTCTATATTAAATGTTGACCCGGAAAATGATGCACGTTCAATGACGAAAAACGATTGACGAAAGGGTAGAGCGGTCAACACTCGACTGTTAACTACACTCTACTTCTTCTTTTTCTTCCTCCTTCTCCGTCCTTCGAAGACCTAAAAGTTCGATAACGATCAGAACGAATCTCAGAAGAAAGAGAAAAAGAGAACGAGGAAAGGAAGGAGAAGAGGTAGTAGGTAGGTAGGCAAGTAAATTGACGAAGGGCAGAAACGAAAGAAGGAAGAAAAAAAAAGGAAAGAAAGAACCGCCAGACGAAAACCTGGACCCAAACTTTCCGGAAAAAAAATAGCCCAAAACCTACAAAGAACACTGAGACACGAAAAGAAATATACAACGAAAGCCAAAGGACAAGTCCGGACTCGAAAGGGAGCTTGTTCAAGGGGACCAACCAGAATAGCAGACCTCACCGGCCTTTCCAGGCCAACAGCAAATCCGAGGTAATAGCGGGGGCTTTGAAACAACTCTTCCTCGCCCCGAGCGGTTACTGGAGATGTAGGGGTCGTCTGCTGCCCCAGATGGAAGAGAGCTACAGGTATGGTGTTGATGGCGGTGAGCGGGACCGAGGAAGAAGCTGCAGAAACTAGAAGTAGAAAGGATCAAGTGAAATACGAAAGCCACAAGTGGGATTAATCGATAGACGAGCTGTCTAGTCAAGCACGGATGCATGGCATTCCCTCTTTCTCCTCCGGTGTTCTAAGTTAACCCGAGAGCTGAAATTTTCCCTCTCTTTTTTTCCCCTTTCTCCTTCCCTTTCCCTTCCTTTTTTCTTTTTTCTTTCCTCTGGCCCCGGTGAAAAGAGAAAAACTTTCCCCCTCTTGTTCCTCTTCTTCTGGGGCTTTCCACTAATCCTCCTTCAATATCGACGGTATGACCGTAACGTATAAGATCTGCCTCCTCCCTCGATCCTCTCCAGTACAGTCAGCAGGACCGTAGTGGACCCTGACCGACGTTCCGCCTGTTTTTGTCCCCTGTAAGCAACTCTTTCTTCCTCTGCCCAATACCGCCCAATCCAAGATTGCCCTTAGACTTAAAACCCTTCCTTCTTCCCCACTCTTATCTTGTCCCTTTGCTCCCGGTTTCTCTCTTCCTTCCCAACCTTCCCTTCCAGCCTCTTAGCACCGTAGCCCACTAAGCCAGTTGCTGTGCGTATTCAATTCCGGTAACCTCCTCCCCATAGATTCCCAGGCCCCTGCGTCTCTTCCTTCCTTCTTTCCCCCCTTCCTTTCGCGGATCCACTGTGGGTGCGTGATTGTGGCGTTCCAAACCGCCTTACCGGCAACGACGTATAAGGATTGTTGGATCCGTGAACTCCGTACGACAGCAATTCCCGACGTGGGGTGGGAATGACTCTGTAGGTGAGCGAGATGTGAATGACGGGGGAAGGTAACGCAACGCGAAGGGGAGGCGGTGATGATTGGGAAGAGAATGGAGAAAAGGGAGTCGTTCAACCCAGGCACGATAACAACAATTTTTTTACAAGTGGAAACGCTAAGGGGTAAGGGGGGGGGGGAGGGGGAGCAAGTCAGGACAGCAGGTAAGGAAGGGGTTGCGGCGAAGGTTGAACGATTCAACGGAGATCAGTAACTTATGTGCGTGTGCGGGTGCGTGCGAGAGTGTGGTGTGTGTCTAGGCCTATTCAGTGCTACGGTACCTTACTACCGCAAAGGTATGCACAGGACGGTAGTAGCACTGTGGAAGGAGGAGGGACGAAGGAAGAAGAGAAAAAAAGGAAAAAAGAGGAAAGGAAAACGTTGAAGCTTCGCCCAATTGTGCTGCCGTCAACCGAGAATTGCTTCGTGCCGGCACCCGCTCTTGTTATGCTCTTGTTATGATACAGCACTTTTTTTTTTTCTCCTGAGTCTCTCCGGCCGGATGGACAAACAGATAATTCATGTACTATACAAGTACGGTACTCGTACAGTACCGGTTACTGCGCTGTACTCGAGTACTGTGCTACCGGTACGAGTGGTGCAGCACCGCACAGTACAGCAGACGGAACGGAAATCAATGAACGAGATGGGTAGCCAACCCAAATGGTAGGAACGATAAAAGAAAAGTGGCTTCAACCCGTTCGTGGGCGGTAAGGTATTCTGATCGTTCCTTTCCCTTCTCCCTACCTGTGCCCAAGGTGCCCGACCGCCATACGGCAGTCTACTCCTGCTCTCCTCTTCCATGATATCCTCCTGCCTGCCTCGGTTGGATCAATCCCCTAGGGCGCGACCGACCGCCAGACCATCAAAGCAGTGGCGCTTAAGGCAAGACACCGGCAGAGGAGAGCCAAAAGCCTCCTCTGTGGATCTCCCCGGCTTCTCGCTCGTTCTCGGTTAGAATTGAATCCTGTCCAACCGAATTGCTCCGACCTTACCAACCCGGACCCGACTTCGACTCCGAGAAAACGGCCCGACACCCCCCTCTTACCGATAAATTTACTTGTGCTCGCAAGTTCACAAGTGTCCGGACACCTTAAATGCCAAGACCTACCAAAGCATATATCCCTGGCGCCAGGGTGTCCGAATACATATAAAATTCACGAGCATGACGCCCTACTTACGCAGTACGGAAGCTGGGAAATGCCTTTCGGGCAAATCACTCCCCAGAGCATTGACGCTACCCCTTAGTCTATTCCCGCATTCCAGATGGTGATTCTGTTACGAGAGTTCAACGATAAATAGGAAAAGCCACTTTGAGCCGGCCAAACATCTGAAAGGGCATTCTTACGCTATCCCTCCACCTATTACAGCGTATTCACTGCACCGCACGTGTTAGTGAGGCTGCTGGTTCAAGTCCCTGAAAAAAAGTGCGGAGGGCTATTATTCATACGAGTATGATACCAGTACGCCCGCACGCGCCCAGTGAGGGAAGAAGATATTATCGAAATAAGGGAGGGAGACGAAACAAAAGGGAAAGGAATAAGAAAACCAATGATACCTGTAGACTCCAGTGCAAACTATGATGGCACGAGCAGTACCGTACCAGTACTCGAGTAGAAGGGCGGATATCTGCCACCTGCCACCAAGGAATCCTCCCTCACTCGTGACGGTATATCATGCCCCTCTAATAGCCATCACAGCACAGATCGTGCGGTAAGTTGGTGGATTGTGATACGGCACGACATCAACACTCGTCCTCTCTTTCCCCATGCCCTTGGGTGTGATACCGGTATCTCACCTGCCGGAACCCCCTCCTCCGATCGCTTCTCACCCAGCCCGCCCCGTTGGAGCATATTGCACCCGTCCCATCCCCATGCTAAACAGTTCAAGCATTCGCAGGACAGGCAACCGCATACCGGTATCACACACCAACCCTCGTCCGCCGCGCCCCGGCACTTTCTTTTTTTCTTTTTCTTTTTTTTCCTCCGTGACGCTCGATTTCGTACTCACCTCAAACAAAAAGACCCGTAAAATCCATCAGTCGTAGCTTCGTGAAACCCGAAGGCACCCTTGTCTGTCGGTTCCCCGTGGTCTGGACCACTCTGCAGGCGATCCGCGTCCATCCACCTCCCCTTCCCTCTTCCCCATTCCCTATACCGTTATTTTCCTCTCACCGCCTTATGCGGCGATTGGGGGTTGGTGAATTTATTATTTAAGGCCTTTATCCGTCCGGCGGTTGGGGAGGCCATGGTGACTGAAATCCAAGGATTGGTTAGTCTAACCTATGGAAACTTACGGTATTCGCAGAGAGCGAGAGAAGAGAAAAGGGTACCTTGAGGGGTTTACCTTACCTTCTTGAATCCACCCACCCTTACATCCCTCCTACTCGAGTACACTCCCATTCCCTGCGATTGTATTGCTGCTCGACCACGATAATCCAGAAGCCTACCATGCCCTGCCCTCCCCCCCCCCCCTCGGGCAACGATACAGCGACCTTACCCATAGAGACGTGCTGCACTCGACAGCGAAACTTCTCCGTCCATCCATCCACCCATCACCACCCCATACCTTTTCTGCCTCACAAGTGCGGCAGGGTTGGCACGATACAAATCCCATCACTCCCTCCCCTTCCCTTTCCGCCTTCCCTCCCCGTATCCAAGTCATAATCTACCTACATGTAGCCCTTTACATTGCCGTACCAACCAAACCGCGTGTGCTCAACCGGTCCCATCCTAGCCCAACCGGATGGACCGCATCTAGACCGCGTCGGCACACGACGGCGTCATCGTGCACCCGCCCCTCTCGCCCGGGTGGGAGCTCGATTCTTACGGTATTCTGGCTAATACCGAGGCGTTGGGTGTGGTGTACTGTAGCTGCCCAGCCTGGTCTGGTCCTGCGGCACAGGAACACACCAAAGGTTGCTAGCATCATAACGTACGAGTTTTTTGTGATAACCCTTTCGCGCGCCGCCGCGTTGGGAAAAATGAGCGAAGAAGAAGGGAGTCCGGGGGGGAGGAGGGAAAAAAAGAAAAAAAAGGGAAAAAGGGAAGAAAAAAGAAAAAAAAGAAAAAAGACAAAACCCCCCAATCGTTTTTGTTCGGGCTCATGCGCCTTTATGTTTCTTGTTGCTGATGCTGATGCCTAGGCATGGTGCGAGCGCTGTACGAGCATGATTTAAATGCATGCGCGCACCGTGCTCCAGCACGGAATCGCGAACTGCCGACTTGGGATTCGACCACTGTGCATCTGAATGTGGTAAATTCGCTGGACAATTGCGATAGGGTCTCCTCAATCGTGTGCCCATCAGTTATCAAATTCAAAGTCACAGACCGACGATAAAGCACATCGTCATAAAACTCCGTAATCCCCCGCCAACCTGAATCCAAACTGCCCCCCTCCCCCCATTTCAACCCTAGCTTCGGCTATCTTCTGTGCTCCAAGGTGTCTGGAAGTTCCTTTTTCTTGTGCCACCGAAGCGTTCTAGACCGATGCGGGGTATTGACGGTACAAGTGGGGATTAGTTGGTTGGTCGAGGAACCCGGTTGTTGTAAAAATGTGGAAATGTGATTCACGAGAACTTGTGAGCATGGTCTGTTAGGCGCGGGCCATCCCCCGTTCTCCCCGTTTGCAATATTATTTGCCGTTTTCAAAACTGCCCCTAACGTGCGAGTATGATCACCGGTACCGGTTTTCGCGTCGCCATGATCCTCTGGAGAGTACGATAGGCCATCATCCCCTTCCTTTCCCCGCATGGATTCGCCAGGGGAAAGGGGTATCAACTTTGCGCCCCACCCTGTATTATCCGTACCGGCACCACGCCGTCGAACCCCCCGTGTGCCAATGCCCCAACAACATCGTGCCGCAAAATTTCAGAGATACTTGTTTCCCTTCGACATTACCAATAACCTGTAAGTTACGCACGTGCATACAACACGGTTTGGTTCAGCATTAGGGCTTACTCCATAATCACTGAATGCGCCTCGGGATCTCCTCCAAGAGGGCTATCTGTCTATCTGCCCGTCTGCCCGTATGACATTTCCAAGCGAGTTGAGTGAACAACAATGAACAGCCAGATCAAATCACAAAGCGGAAAACTGTTTCTAGCCAATCAAGGCCCGAGCCCCTCGTTCAGCTCCCTATCAGCTCAGACTTCCCTATATATAGTAAGGATGGCGGCCCAAGGCGAAATTCTTTCGCCCGGGAGAACGCAACCAACTCAACTGTCCTGGGGTGAGTGACCAAGGAACTGTCCACTCGCGTCCACAAAGTGCTCGTAACACCTCAGGCACCCCATCGACTCCCGTCTAAGATCGACGGGGACCGCTCTCTCTCTCTCAAGAGAACTTTTTCAATCTGGTAACTGCAATTTCCGTAAAGAATTTTCCTTTTTTTTTTCTAATAAATAACCTCTGCAATCCCCTGGCAAAAGACTGGGGAGGCATGGCGGTACATCAGCTGTTATGAGAACTCTGTGGCCGCAAGTGTATATCCGAGGTATGTGAGAGCGCAACATCGAATTGCATTCTCTTGCAAGGAGTGTGGGGCTTGTTGAGCTGGGTCCTCACTTGCCCGTATAACGCGCCATGGCCTGAAGGGCGTGCGGGGGGTCGAACGGATTATCATAGTCGCAGTAGCCTTCCCTCGTTCGTCCCTACCTACAGATCCCACTCACTATATTGTAAGATAGGTTAGCTCCATAAAATAGGATACAATCACACGGCATAGTGCATCTAGTGCCCGGGGGGCCGCATTGCTTTCCCCCGGCCTTGTACCGTTACTATACGGCTGGTATAACTACCGCCTTTATTTTACCCGTGTAGGCGCGGATTAAGTCACTGTACATCTCGTTGCTCCTAGGAGCGCGATGGTGATCCCTAGCTATCAGTTAACGACTTTCAACCCATCAGCAAACTGAAACCTCATATGACTTCATAAGATTCACAATGATACAGATGGGGAAATTCTCCAACGCCGGACTTACGAGATGAGTGCAATCGTTTCGAACGTCCACAAACCGCAGATCTCCACAGCCCAAACGGGCTAGAAAGAACAAAGGACTCGCAAAAAATAATAATCATAGCCCATTCCCCCGCCCTCAAGAGCCCACGACAACCTGGGTCTTGCATAGGTATTACAATTCCATCGAATTTGGGTACGGTGGTTTTGGTATCGCCCTCGGTTCCAACTACTCATCAAAAGACACCTCATACCGGGTGTATGGACTAGGCGTATCTCTCGAACTATTCCCAATAATACCGTGGAACCAGACTCAAATCAGTACGGCAGGTGGACGCTTCAGTAGAGCGTGAGCTGCATGCGTGCCTCGTATAAACTTTGCCTTGAGACAAGGTCGATAGATCCCCCAAAATCTCCCTTGTGACTTCCGGAAGCGGAAACGGGTAGCCTACCGCATAAGGTTTGTGTGAGCATGGGTGATCTCATTCCTGCAG